AACTTATTTTGAAGGGAAAATAAATGAGGTTTTATTAATTAGATTTTATAAATACATGATTACACTTAATTAGGTTTTATGAATGATATTATTATTATTATTATTATTATTATTATTATTATTATTATTATTATTATTATTATTATTATTTTGTATTTCATGAAACAATTTTCTTTAAAAACAATTAGTAAATAGTTTTAAAAGTATATTAAAAAAAAAACTTTAAAATCTTATTAATAATTGTCGTTGTAATAATAATAATAATAATAATAATAATAATAATAATAATAATAATAATAATAATAAAGTTTTCAAGTAAATTTTTTGACCATGATCCCTCCAAATTATAAAAATTACATTACCCACAAATTTTTTTTAATCAATATAGTGACTCATATGTAACTCAAATAATTTATATGAATATTATTTTTATTTTTACTAATGATTAAATCTTGAAAATGTGGTATGTCTATTATCTAGAATTTTAATATTAAATTCACATATCTTGAAAATGTGATATGTTTATTATCTATAATTTTAATATTAAATTCACACATATTACTTATAATATTTTATGTACATCTGTGCATGTGCACAGGATGAGTACTAGTATAATATTATTAGAGTTAGGTGGTAATGGATTGTCTACATTTTGTATATATAAAGATTTTATTCATTGTGGTCCCCAATACACTAAATAAAAAACAATTTTATTTTCTCTCATCGAAATTGAAAACGACGGTCCCATCAAAAGGAATAAGACGATTTAGTTAATGAAGACCAACACTAATTGATCCAATCAATTGAGCGAGGTCATGTTCCGCAAAAAAATAAAAAAATAAAAAAATAAAAATAAAAATAATGTATCCAAGTATTTCTATTAATCTTTCAAATCTAGCACGATGTTGATTTTCCTAGAATTAATTCATATTCTAGTATAATTCTTATTGAATTTATTGAACATAAAAAGAAAAAAAAAAAAATTCTCTCTCTTCGGCTGCAAAAAAAATCTCCAATTCCAAATTCTCACCATCTGTGTCGCTCTTGTCAATTTCGGCTCCTTTCGTAGAAGAATTGTGCAAGGCTTATCGGCGGGGTGTTCTTGGGCCTCGAGGTCTGATGGTCGGTGAATTGCCATTTTGGAGGAGGGGTTTCGGCTGGCAACGACGAGGTGCAACTCCGACATAAGGTTTCGCCAATTAAATGGTTGCTAGGACGACAAGGAGGGCATCTGTTGTTCGTTGGTGCTTTCGCAACTTTGGGCGAGCCTCTAGCACTTCACCGGGATGGATCGCGGCCTCATCTCTCTTTCTGAGGGAGCAGGGGTGGATGGTTTCGTGTCTAGCCGACGTGTCTCTTCCATCTCTGATGTTGGGCGGAGGTGACCACCAATGAGTTTGGCTGAGGTCGAGGTTTCGGTTCTAAGCCTGATTTGGCTGAGTTGTCGTGGGTGTTGCTGGTGTAGGTCTACGGGCTTGGGTCTCTAATGTCTAAGGGATCTCGGGTGAAAGACTCCGCTTCTAGTCACCTTGTCCCTTTTGTCTCTGGTGTTGGACGGGGTGATCACCACTTCAGGATTTTGCCTTGATCTTGCTGGTCTGTTGTGGGCAGTTGGTGGCGTGGGTCTCCGGTTCTCGAGTATCCGTCTGGGCGCGGGTTGGGTTCGTTGGTGTTTTGGGCCAGTTAGGCGTTTAGTTGGTAGTTTCTGGTTTGAGCTCCTCGGTCATAGCCCTGTCCCTATGGATGGATGTTCGGATGGATGTTCGTCGGCACTGCCATGGAATGACTTGGTGTGATTGTCTGCTTTGGGAAGGGTGGTGTTGTTGCGTCTTTTCTTTTGTGTCATAGGTGTTTATTTGTGTGTAGGCCGTTTTTTTATTTCTTTCTCTCCTATTGGGAGTGCGTTTTTATGTATTCTTCTGTTGGGAGCTTTTATTTGTCTATTCTCCATTTGGGAGTGTTTAGTGTGTATGTGTGTTGTGGTAGGTAGGTTCTAGGCTTGTGTGTAGTTCTCCCTGTTATATTCAGCGGTGTAGTTGCTTCTTTCGCCCGTGTGGTTGTATTAGTTGGCTATATGGCTGGGTTTTAGCCTCTCTTTTTTTAACATTTATAACATCTATCGTTTCAAAAAAAAATTATTGAACATAGAAAAATGAAAAGTTGTATTTGATATGATTCATGCTTCAACATTCGTGTCTATTTTGATTATTGCATTTGGCTTGGCGTGTATTTAATGAATTGATAGGAATTTTCGTTGTTTGTTCTGTTCATGATTTTCAATCCATTGATTGGTGTTTTGAAAGTCAATTCACCCTACTAACTATTTGTGGGTCCATAAGGGTTTAGGGTTATCATTTTACTTTACCAGTCAATTTGTGGCATGTGCACATACATGTTGTTGGGATCATTATGCTGAAAAAAATAAAAAAAATAAAAAAGTTCTGGGGTTTATTTTAATTTGGAGTGCGTGTGATCTAGGGCCAAATCAATTTC